TTCCTTGAATTCCAATCCAGCAGTCTGGCTCGCATGCTCGTTTGTTAACTTGTGGATTTATTCGTGTTCGCCGAGTAATTGGCAGTTTGCTTGCAAAAACGTGTACTCATCACCCTTAGACCTGGAGGATCTCGTAACATTTCGGAAGATACGTGGTGATTTTGGATACTCACAGGCTACTTCACACGCGCTGACAATGTCTTACCGGCTGGTAACGATGTAACACTTGCAGGCAAATTGCCAATTACTCGGCGAACAGGCGAAATGGAATTCAGCTCATTCGAGCAATGAGAATCAATTTTCGTGGATTTTCCTCGACTGCTTCCTTTCCGGTCAATCACTGCTCGACTCAACAAAAGCAGCCCAGTGATAAAGTCTATTTGAGTACATGCGAAACATCTGTATCTGGGAAAGCAGTTTGTGGAGATGACCTGTTTGACTCACTGTTTAGGATCTCGACTTCGGAATACTCAACCGCCTGCTAGACACATACTTTAAATGATGTGGAATAATTGTAACTCGGGATGCAGATGTTGGTTTTGGTGAGCTCTCCGAGCAGGAAGTGTTGTTCTCAGACATTTCGTAGCCAAGCTAGGCACTGATGATGTTATCTAGCTTGGGTACGAAACGTCTGCGAACAGCACTTCCAGCTCGGAGAACCAACGCATTCATACTTTCTCGGTAGCTATCATTGAAGTTTCCCTTGCTGTACTTTGCTGCAGGGTGTTGATGATAATGATGATATTCACAGAATGCCGCGAAACTAGCGCGAGTCGATTTTCTTCATGTATCTTGTGCGTTCGATATCTTTTACTCTGTAAAAATTGGGTACACTATCCAAGCACAGGCGTACCCGATTTGTAGTTAGCTAACCGGTATCACGTCGATCCCATCGTTAACTCCGACCGATGTTAATTTACTTTACTGCGGCTGGCTCATTGGAAGGGTTAAGCCGGCTCTAGACATGATCATGAAGTTCCTTGGGAGTTTGGTACGAGAGATGTCGCCAGCTCTAGCCTTTGCACAATCAAGTGTGAACTGCAAGGCAACAGAAAATAATCCCTCGCCTTGGAAGTGAGGGAGGGAGGGGGGAGTCAATGACTTTAGCTTTTAAAGACCAGTCATATCGTCCTTTGTCACTTCACCGTCATTGACCTTAATGCGTCTTCTGAACAGAAGCCAGGTGATCAGCTTGAAACCCACCCCAACCTGGTAGTTAGTGCCGCCGCTGTGTTCGCGACTGCTTATTTGTTGCGGTATGCCATAACGTATTCACAGCTGACCTCGTTCTATGAAGGTATCCCCCTATCCACAACCCGGGTATGCGCCTGTCAGCATTCAGCTATGCTTAACCGATGTTACGGTGCACATGTTGACACTGTATCCCAAAGTGGATCGAAAAGTAATATGTACGTGTCACAGAACCAAGTCTAAAATTTTGTACTGTACTATTTCACTTAACCGTGCAATGTTTCTCTTTTTCGCAAATGGTCGGTCTAATCTAAACATAATGCACACTGACTGCATCAGAATCTTTTGAGATCACCCACCCCCGCCTTCCTGATGAGAAACCTAGACGATTGCTATGTACTGTCATTCTTTATGGTTATCAGTGTCACCAGGTATTCTTTCTGTCTCGTTTAGGTTTATCCCAATCTACTCTGTCTGCTGAACCAATTGCCATTGGAATATGGTCGACTAAGCTCAGATGATGCACAGTTGCTTGAGACATTATTTGTCGATACTGCACTCAAAGGCTTGGAACGTGCTCTCGTCTCACGCAATCCCCCTGTGGATTCGTCAGTGGAACCAACAACACCGACTAACAACGCACCGGTCTCAGTGGATCCGAGTGTATCGGTAGCAATAGTAACCGGACTGCTTGAGTGTTGCCGTTTTTTAATCGATCGTATCGCCACCGCATCCGAGACCGAAACCAAACCGGATCCCATGTGTCTGCGGATCAGGGATCAGGTGGTTATGCGTTTGTTCGCTGATTCTCTCCACGTTGTACGTCCCGATAACGTGAAACATACATATCTAGTCTGTGCACAACCACCACTTGCACGACAAGCCTATCTGGAAGCTGTGTTCACTCAGGTTAGTATTCAGGTTGTTGACTGTCATCCCAATTACCCCAATCTTTTGAGCTTTTTAGGTCGATGTTAGAGGTCCCGGAGGTTATGTACACGTAGTCTGTTACTTTGGATAATTACGAGCAACACACTATCACCCATTTGCTTTGGGTTTCAAACTTGAAGATTAAATGTTTAGCATGATCACCCATTTTGGTGAAAACACCTCCTCACTCACCCGAATCTGCTTACTGTTTTTAATAACGGGGATGTTTGGTAGGAAAGTGAAAACTTACCTTGGTTTAGCGGAATGATGTTGCTTCGTGGCAGAACTGTTTAAGTGGTGTTTTCCCCTTCCTCCGTTGGGAAAGGCTGCCTGCAAAAATGACATTTACGTTCTCACTACTGATTTCATTTAAGTAACACATCTCTGATCATATCAAAAACCTCATCCTGACTCGAAACTGTGTTCGCCTTTTGTTCCTCACCGGATTGATATTTCATGTTTTTTTTTCCAGCTGAAGTTGGATTGTATCGCATACCTGTCGAAATTGACCTATATCGCCAAGTTTTTTTCCATGGCAAACATGGAAGTCCCCCGAGGGCTCATACAAGAAGTCGGTACAACCATGATAATATAATATGCAAGGGTAAAGGGTGTGGATCGGTGACCGGACTTCAAGTGATGCGATAGGCCGTAGAAGCGAGCAATACCAAGTAACTTGATGGTTTCTTGGACCTCACTGTTCACTATGAACTAATCTAATTGTGGAACTAGCCTACAGGTATTATCGAAACTCGGGTCAGTGAACCATTGACAATTTCTGACGCGAAACCAACCAAAAGGAGAATTACGAACCACACTCACCGTCCTAGTTGTAGCGGTGGGCATCAAGGTGTATGTGACACCTTGGACGTTTGACCCCATCCAAAGGGCGTATGATCCGATGAAATGGACATCGACCCCCAATGGATTGCGGTTTTCGCACACCGCCCCGCTGCCTTGCGGATCAGACTCTAGCTAGCCGAAGGCTCCGGTTGAAGGTTCTTCAAGAAAATTCAGCTGCATAGGCCTGGGCAACCTATCAGTATTCCACCCACATGCAAAGCATGGAACGCTTTTCTTTTTCATATAGATTATTGTACCATGATTTGTTTGGCACAATCTGGTTGCAGATGCGATATATATATATATGTTATATGTAAACATTATATATCATATATTTATATTGAAATCGGGACATAACTATATTTAATTACTCTACTTTTCAACCACGCAGGGTGATGCTCACAAATGCGCTCAGACAGGTGCCTGGTCGTACGGCCAGGCGTCTGTTGTAGCGCATCCGTGAGCGTAACTATATTTGTTGGTATATGTCTGCATGATACTAATAAATGAAAAGTTTTCCCTCGTGACCTGTCTTGAAATTTGTTTCGCGGTATTTTTTACGCGGTGGTTTCCTAAATATCAAACGGTTTTCACAGTCATTCACCCGAAATGTATAACTTAATTTGAAGCGAAACACCTACTGTAATATGAGCAGCCACATCACACAAATCATAGATTTATTTCTTACAACATTAGTCTGGT